AGCCTGGCATGCCAAGACCTAGGACTGGACCTAGGCGCAGCAGAAATTGCCCCAACATCATCACGATCAAAAGCTCGAGTTGGACCACGATTTCAGACGTCCTGGATTCCCTCAGCCATGCGGATATCATTTGGGTTCAACAACGCCGCTCAAAACCTAATCGGTATGAGAGCGTCGTCAACTCCCTCCGTCTAGCTGGATGGCGTGTCTGCGGAGGCCCATGTTCGATAGCAGACAGGGGTCGAGCGTCAGCAGGGGTGATGATAATGGTCAAGCGCTACCTTGACGCACGGGCCCCAGACGAAGGCAGCTTGCACCCGGGGAGATTGGCCAGAGCTTCCCTTGGGCTCCAGGACCTAGGGCACCTGCTGATCATGACGTGCTACTTGTATTCTGGGGAAGGCTTCGCTCCGACAAGTGTTCAGATCTTGGAGAAAGCTGAATGGACAATTCTCGGCGCACAATTCCCGCGTCTTTAGCATTGATATCGCGAGCGCCCCTGAGAAGCTGAACGCTGCGAGGGCTCGCGCGCGCGGACGAAGTGAACCCATCGCGTTGCCTAGACGAGCATTCCTCGACCATCGATTTATTCGTTGTCGACAGGGTGCTGGATCAGATATCGGAGGTTCGAGTTACGATGGATATCTCAGTGTCCCCACGCCGCCCAAATTGACTTAGGCTGGGGAAAATTGGTGATCAGTTCGTGGAGGTTATGTCTAAGTATTAGAGTATGCCCCCTGGACGTGTCTATGGCCTTTTGATGCAGCCAACGCGTTGCGATGATCTGGAGAGCAAGCCGGATGGTTTCCTGGGCCCGAGTGGCCGAACAAGGGAGAAGTACACGTCGCAGGGGAACACGAACGACGAAACAATCAACCTCATGAATGACATCTACCAGCGCTGGAACAACGCGGCCTGGGCCGAGCTGAAGGATGCGACAGGCCATGACGGACGTGGCTTGCAGGGGGGGGGGGGCCCCCCAGACGTCCAATGGGATGCGACCCCGCGCGAGGACGTGCTGAGGACTGAGTCTTATAAACAGGTTGACCCCCAGAGAGCCGCGTTTTGGGTTCGTCAGCAAGTGACCCAAGTGAGATCCCTCATGGCCAGAGGTGGGGAACCACGCTGACCGCGTGAACATGTCGGTCCGCCTCTTAGAAGTTTCGGTCTGAAGAGGCCCGCGTCGGCAGGTTTAGACAGGGGGGGGGGGGGGGCAGCCTGTGGCGCCCCATTATTTTATAAATTTATTATATTCGGACCCTGGCGCAACAACCTGACATTCACACTCAGAGGGTCTTAAATGAGATCATCACATTCGTCCACTTCATGCATAATAGGCCCCTCTGCTCAGCACCGACGATCCGCGGGGAAGAGTGGAAGGACGGGCGTGCCGGAGCAATGGAGAAAGGAGCCCGCAAAACCCACGTATTTTTTACGAGTTTCTGTCTTGGGCCCTGCCCCCCCCCCCCCCCCCCCCCCCCCCCCAGGGACGCGCTCGAGCGCGCCTCTTTCGCCGGCGGGACGCGGCAAGAAAAGCAGAAGTGGACCAAGTTCTGGAAGGCTGGGCCCCGCCCTGACCAACCTGAGACATGGCCAGATGTTCTCCGAGCGATCGGCCAAGTATTTGGCGGGGGAACGTGCGCGCCGGATGGGCGGCATCCTCGGCGCCGCAGCTTGCTCTCGACTAGGACCCAAGCAGTTGTGTTCAAGATTTTCCATGTAATCGATTGAACTGGCTGTGCCTCAACAAAACTCCAGCCCCGTTGTTCCGCGCGCCCGCAAAGCCTCAGGAAGCCGACGATCCTCGGGCCACTACTCCTCGGCTTTCCGCTTGCACAGAAGTTCGCTAAGCAGGACCTGCGCGGGTGGGCGTGGGTGAAGTGGGGCCTGAATATTCGCGCGCTTAGCGCAGCACTCCGACTGGCGCGGCGCAGGGGCAGGCTGCGCTGGCGGCAGGGGCCAGCAATCGCAAGTTGCAGCGCGTTGATGCGATGTGAGACTTCTTCAGTTCTATGAACGCGTGCCGCGCTCACTGTTGCCTCAAGAGTGCACCCCGAGCCAACTGCCCTGGTGCTACCCTGATGCCAGCATGAACAGGAATAAATGGGCTCGACACCTTCTCTATGGCGGTGCATCGATGCCAGCTATCTACCCTAGAGGGGGAATAGTGGCAGGATCCACTCCAGCCACTTTTGGAGCCAAACTCGCTCTCAAACCAACTGTGGAGATGCATTCGGCCTCCCTCCCCTCGGATGCCCTCGTCTCTCTCCGCGTGGATGACCTTTCCCACCATGAGTGGGCAGCGGATGTGCTTGCCGTTGCTGACCTTGCCGCCCAAAGACTTAGCGACATTGGGCATGTGATTGTAGCTGCGCGAGTGCTTCCCCTTGCGGAGCACGAGGTCTATATGGCGGCCCCCTCCGACAGGGCTCTGGAGGTTGCCGAGAGGGCAAGCATCGGGGACGCCCCAAGGCCCGCGCCACCAGAGCTATGAGGCGGAGACGCACGTGCAAAAGGACGTCTCGAATGCATCGAAAGCTGGTCATCACTCACGATTGATGGCCACGAACGCAGTCCCTTCCGCCACCTACGGAGGCGACATCAACGCGTTCAGCCCCTGCCAAATCGCGCGTCTCAGACAATCAGCTGCCCCTGCCAGTGGAGTCGCGATTCCGGGGGGTGACGCGGACTCAGCGTGGGGGTTGTCTCGTGCCAAGGACCCACTGGGGGTTGCAGGCGTGACTGCCCGCAGGTCTGCAGCTGAGTGGTGGCAGGCTGCTACCCCGCGGACTGACCTGCAGAAGAAGCAGGCAGATTGCCTGTCCCCTCAGTTTCAGACTAAGTTATTTCGAGCTGCTGTTGAAGCGGTCCCCAAGACCCCGCCTCCCAACCGGCAATGGTCTAAGTGGAGCAAGGGACAGATTTCTGACGCGCTGGATTGGGCCCGGGAAGGAGGATCGAAGTCCAAGACTCCGTCCACCCAAATTGACCGCCTTTGGATCGAAATCGAGGTCGATGTCCTCTCGCCAATGTTGCCAAGCGGTTTGCTGTTTGCTGCGCAGACGAAAAGATGCTAGAAGTCAGGCTGCCGCCAGAAGAGCTGCTGACCGCCATCCGTGCCGCGAGGGCCAGGCCCTCCAGGAGCGAGGTCATTGGTGGGACCTCATGGTAAGGCACCTCCGCTGGGCCCACAAATTGCAGCCTAGGTAAATCTCCGTGTTGAAGCAGACCATGGTGGAGGCGATCCCGGCGGCCGACAACCTCCGCAAGTGGGGTTGCCCAGTTTCGCCAGAGCGCAAGTTTTGTGGAATGACAGACACTACCTTCCACCGCTGCTGGGAATGCCCACTCGCAGCACAGGTGAGAGAAGAAGTTTGCTCGCCTGAGATGGTCCATGATGCTCTGTCGACTGGGCCACAAAGTTTCCTTTTCTCTCGATGCTGGCTCCCCAAGTTTGATGTCCCCGAGCCTGCAGAGGACTGGGAGTTGCATTATCGAGATGCCTCAGCCCATGTGACAGATTTGAGTTTACCCCTGGCGCAAAGCTTTACCCTGATGGAAATTGCCTCCGTCCGTCCCTCGGGGAGTTGGCCCGTGCGGACTGAGGTGTCTGTGAACTTGACGACCAGGAGAATTTGCGCCGAGGGATTTCTGGCCCCGTTCGCAAATTGGCCAAACCTCAGGTGATGGGGAACGGGCTGCGTTGATGGTAGTGGCGATTCACAATCAATGAGGGCTACCGCGCTACCTCACAGTTGACTACCATGCGCTGATTAGGGACGGCGTCAACATTCAGACTGCCCTGCCACACAACTCGCTAGGAGCCCACTTTGTCAGGAAGATGGCCACAGGCATCCCTGTAGGTTGGCTCGCCCTATGCAAGACTAAGGCCCCTAGGGAAGAGCAGCAGGCACAGAGCCCCGAGGATCACGGCCATCAGAGGCAACAAAGCAGCTGCTTGGCTAGCAGGCCAGGGAGAGCCCAACTTCATGATTTCTCCCCTTTGCAAGCTGAAAAGAATGCCCACACCGTCAACCGGTCTTAACAACTGTGCTATGCTATGGCATCCGTGCTTGCTGCGTGGCCCACCCCAGGAAACATCTTCGGGGAGCTCAATAAGGGGAGTGTGGGTCCCAAGGGGGTTCGAGTCGAGGTCCGAAAGGCCCCACACCCCTTGTTGGAATGGTGACCACTATAGCTGTGACCATTGTTTGAGACGCATCAGTCCGAAGACTCGCTTTGAATGCCAGAGCCATCTGAATCCTAGTTTGCGTTCTGTCCTCGGGACTCCTGGTTTTCATGGGTACAAGCTCCATGTGGCGCGGACTGTTCCCCATGGGACCCCAATGCTGTTTTGCATTGCGTGTGGAGCTTTCGCCACTATGAAGGCTCTTTCTCTTTCTAGGAGGTACACCCCCAACCCCAAGTTTAAAGAGCTGCGGGCCCTCTTCTCCCGCAGGCTGCCTTCCGCCAAGTACACACTTGGTCCAGCTGCTCCTGTCGGCAGGAGCCCCCATCGGCGATCTGGCGAAGAAGCTGCAGCAGGACGCCAAGGCCAAGGAACTGAGGCAAGGAGGGAAAGGGGGGGCCTCCTAGTTTCGTTTTGTCATTGCTCCTAATTTGGGCGCCTGCGGGCGGTTGGGAGACCTCAGACAATCGGGCCATTGCTGGGGTTGCCCCAAGAATGGTCCCGATTGCTCCGTACCTGTGGGGAGAGGGTCTCCCAGCTTGCATGTATGTGCCATTCGGCAGTTATTTGCATTTGCGTGTAGTGTTTGTTTAGGGTCCTGCACTGTAGGGCCCTGGACTGTTTCAACCCAGATTACCCAGGAGGAGGACCGAGGAGGAGGAGGAGGACCGAGGAGGACCGAGGAGGAGGAGGAGGAGGAGGAGGAGGAGGAGGAGGGCGGAGAAGGAGTAGGGGAGACCGAGGGGAGGAGGACCGAGGAGGATGGTGGCGGCAGCTCGCGACCTACCTGCTTCCCTCCCGCCAGGGGCGCCCTGGGCGAGCGTGGCGAAAGCCCAGACGATGTTGGAGAACTCCTGGGGGCCGAAGCCTCCACGGCACGGCAAGGGAGAAGAGAAGAACAAGGAGGAGGAGGAGGAGGAGGAGGAAGGCGGAGGAGGGAGAAGGATAGGGAGTTCTATCAAAACAAGCGAGAAGCCCACTCAGGATGCGCGGCACGGGTGGGGGGGGCAGGCAAGCCCAGAGAGCACGCGCTGCCCTCCGCGGCGCCTCTGCCCTGCTGGGCGAGGCCGCAGGACCCCCCCCCTGGCCTGGCCCTCCAGGCCCGGACTTCTGGCTACCGCTTGCCCGCGTGGCACTCGACCCACCCCAGCCTGCTGCTGTTCCTCCTGCAAATGCTCTCCTCATCGTCATGCTCCTCCTCCTCCTCCTCCTCCTCCTCCTCCTCCACTGTTCTCCTCCACCGTTCTCCTCCACCGCTCTCCTCTTCGTTGACCCATTCACCTCCACGTCATACCAGACCGCAACCGCCCAGACTGGACAAGACCAGACCAATCTGGACCAGACAATGCCCGACCCGACACGACCAAATCACACAAGAGCTGACCAATCAGCGAGCCCCAGTGGGCCTCCCAAATTGTGCGGCACGGATTCCTGAGCGCGCCAGTGGTAACACGCAAACCGTGTTTCAGCAACAGCTTGCCACTGGTTCCCTTTGCTGCTGCGCACTGATTGCAGAAAGTGTGCTGGAGCATGCGTGGGTACCCCAGATCCTTCGCTTGATCATATCGAAGAGAGCCATCAGCCCCTCACCCCAAGCCTCTGATATCGTCCGCGCGCGTGAGCGCCACTGACGCCATCAGCGGCTCGTGGAGCTCGCGCACGGTTGCCTAGCGCTGCTGCAGCAAGGGTGGAACAGGAAGAGAGCTAGATCAGGCCTGCTAGCAGGAGCAGGATAACCAAAATCAGCATAATGCCCTCGGAGTCCGGTGCACCGCCCCGACTTGCCAGAGTGCTGGCAGTGCGTGATAGCAGGAGCGGACGAGGACTACGAGAGAGCAGGACGACAAACGGCGGGATGGAAGAGAGAAAGAAAGATGGATGAATCCAATAGCAAGCACCCAATAAGAGGATCATCCAGTAGCATCCGGGAACCGGAGGACCATCCGGTTCCCGGATGGTCCTCCGGTTCCGATACCATCCAATAGCATCCAATAGCATTCGATCCAATAGCATTCAGTGTGGCACATCAGGGAACCGGAAGAGCATCCAATAGCAAGGCGCCAACTATACGCCTGCACCGGTCTTGGCCAGCCCCGCCCTGGGCCCAGGATCGGTGCATACGCCCTCCTGGCTCGTCCAGGGAGGCAGACACGCCGAGACGGGCCTGGCCGGGGTCGGTGCAGCTGTGCGGTTGGCGTCCTGCGACCCGGCACCGTCTTCCCGCATCACCAGAGACCACACGATGTTCGAGACGTTCTGGCCGTTCAGCTCCGCCGAGCGCGCGAGCGCCTCGGGGGGCGGAGGATATCGGGCACCGCCGAGAGCGCGCGCGAGTGCCCCCCTACCGGGACTGGAGGCCGCTCGATCCAGGCCCGAGCGGCGAGGGGGGGCCCTGTGCGAGAGGACGTGCTGGCCCCAAGCACGCGGTGGGGCCTACGCGGACCCGGCGGGCCGACATCACGGCAAACCGCGCGGAGACAAAGGCGCTCACGCGCGACCTTACGCGCGAATGTCCGCGCAGTGGACCCCAGGGCTGGGCGTCGCCCACACGGGGACAGAAAAGGATGGGATCGGAGGATCGCACCGCGCCGCTGATGCATCGGCAATGCGTCGGCGACGTCGGGGGACGGAGAAGAGCGGGCTCTGGATCGCGCCGCATCGCCGAGGAATCGGCGGTGCGGCGGATTCCTCCGGGCCCTATGTGCCCCAGGCCCATTTGGATGGAGGCGGTGCTCGCCATCGCTCGGACGTCCATTCCCTGTGTGTTTTTGTTGGGGGCGTGCGTGGTTTTTTCGCTAAATTATCAAGGATGCTCCTCGACTGTCCTCGCCGAAGGAAAAATGCACACGTCCGAGCGATGCCGAGGGTCATGGTGGTGGGGATGGAAGGAAGCCGCAGACCATAAACTGACACCGATCCTTGCCAAGCCCAATCCCGGGTGTTCGCCGGGCTTGGCTGTTTCTGCCCAGCGGTCGGCTGCGCTCGACTGCTCCTGGGGCTCACAATGTCGGCTTCGTTCCCAGACGAGGCGGCGAATCTACTCTGAGCGTACCCCGCGGTTGCGTGTGTGCGTGTGCGTGTGCGTGTGCATGCGCGTGCGCATGCGTGTGCGTGCGCGTATGTCTGTGTGTTTATGTGCTTGCGTGCGTGCGTGCGTGCGTGTGCGTGCGTGTGCGTGCGTGCGTGCGTGCGTGCGTGCGTGCGTGCGTGCGTGTGCGTGCGTGTGTGTGTGTGTGTGTGTGGTGTGGTTGTGCTTGTAGATGTGCGCGCGCGTGAGTGTGTGTGTGTGTGTGTGTGCGTGCGTGCGTGCGTGCGTGCGTGCGTGCGTGCGTGCGTGCGTGCGTGCGTGCGTGCGTGCGTGCGTGTGTGTGTGTGTGTGTGTCTGCGCGCCCATGCGTGTTGGTCAGGAAGACGCCTACATCGATCACGGGCACCGAACTGGCCTGGCCATGATCGGTGTAATTGGGTGTATTTTCCCCTGGGGTCTATCGAGTTGGTGGGGCAGGGGCAGCGAGATGGGATAAGGTTTCCGACAGAGAATTGTAATGATGAAAGAATGAAAGAAAGAAAGAAAAGAAGGAGAAAAAACTAGAAAAGAAATAAAAAAGAAGAGGAAGAAAAAATGAAAGAGAAAAAAAACGAACTAGACAATACAACAGAGAGTAAGAAAAAAAAGAAAATGAAAGTAAAGAAAGAAAAAGAAAGACGCCTGAAGAGGAAGTGCCCTCCTTCTTTTGGCTCACAACCTCAAAAACACAACAACAGTCAAAAAAAAAGATAAACTCACATCTCAAAGGCAAAAAAGGTATGCCACACCTCAGCTCAGACGCTCAGAGGAGAACCCGGGACGGAACCCAATTAATACACAGCTCCTTCCTAAGCCGGGGTGGTTATCCTCCGTCCTCCTTCTCCTGGTGGCCCTGACGATGGGGGTGGCGGCGGCAGTAGCAGTACCGAAACGCGCCCAGAGCCAAGCAAAGCATGAGGGTGCAAACCCGAATTGTCTGGCTGAAACTCTGGGGGGGCTGCAGCACCGCTCAATGATGTGCTGTTTAACCGAACCTGCAAAATGGGCCCTTTCCCCAATCTGTGCTTCGGTGCGGATTGTTTGCGCGCCTCGTCTTCTTCGTCGTCGTTGTCGGCGTCGTCGTCGGTCGTGGTCGAGGTGCCCTGGTCTTGTTTCTCTTATGCAGTGACCAAGCACCTGGGCGTGCCAAGCATTGCACACCGCCTCGCTGCCCATCCGTATGTCTTCCCGGCTCTCGGAGCCACGGTGCTTAGAGTCTCTTAGCTCTGGGTGGCGTCGGCCACCGCCACTGTCGCTGTTGCCGTCACCCGAGTCGGTGGCCCTGACGAGGGCGTGGCGGCGGCACCAGCAGCCGAAGCGCGCCCATAGTCCAGCAAGGCATGAGGGTGCAAACCCAGCTTGTCTGGCTGATGCTCTGGGACGGCCTGTGCTAAAAGTGTGATATGGATGGCGCGCGCGGCGCGACGATCTTTTGGGCGAAAGAGAGCGCTGCTCAATCTATCTGCGTAGCTCTAAGGCCAAGGGCCCTAGTTCGAAACAAAACGGCAGCGGCACGAGCGGGCGTGAGGGATAGAGCGGGGATGCAGGAAGAGCACGGGGAGTGAGCGGGAATCACACTCCTCCTGATTGACGCTCGCGGCGCCGTCGAGCGACGATCATTGATCGCAGCTCACTTCATTAATCAGAGCGCTCTCAAAACAAACACAGGCAAACGGCCCTGTCGGCATGCTATCCGGCTGCCCCGGGGCATTTAACGGGTGCTGCTACACGCACCGGCGAGAAAGACATAAATTCTCAAAACGAACAGCTGCGCGAGTCCGATCGCTATGCGACAAAACTCAAATGGCGCTGTCTTATCAAGATAAAATCTCAATAGTGTGGTCGTCACCACATAAAAAGGAATCTGTGCACACTGAATGAAGCTTCGAACAATGCGGACTAGCGTAGTATGCCACAGGGTGTGGCGCCAAATGTAAAAACGAGCTAGTAAGACAATTCGGATTTACGCAATCTGCCACACTATGTGGCTCCAGGTGTAAAAGAAACGAACTGACAAAACGGTGCGGACTGTCGTAATCTGCCACAGGATGTGGCGCCAAATATAAAACGAGCTAACAAAGCAATGCGGACTTACATAATCTGCCACAGGATGTGGCGCCAAATATAAAACGATGGCGTGCTCACGAAATCTTCTTTTGAGCTTTCGCCTTGCCGGGCAGTCCTTGTAGCTGCCTCCATCTGTTCTGTAAATCCCAGCGCAGACTGTTGTGCATCCTCGAGAAATCTGGCTCATGGGTCACATAATTCCTGCGTAGCCATGTAGCGTGCTTCCTGCACGTCCTGCAGGTGATGTAGACACTGTGTGCGTTGTGTCCCACGCGTACGTTGTGCTCGGCGGCCACACATGCGTTCATTTCTACTGGCGGAACCGTTGGCGTCGATCCGTTCCAAGAAACCACGCTGGCTGACGAGGAACTGGTAACCGTCATCGGGGATGATGGCGACGAGCTGGCTCCCTGCGCGAAGCTGTCCGGTGATGGGGGCGGTGCGGCTGGCGCTGCCGATCCGCTTGCTGATGTTGAACTCTGGGCTGCGACGGCAATCATCGGCGGCTCCATATAGACATCTCCGTCGACGTCTTCGGGAATGGTAGTCGGTACATTGTTACGACGTCCGAGGTATCGTCCATCCATCCCATCCTGGATATATTCCGGGCGAGGGAGTGTCCGCGTGCCCGGAGTGATCAGCCTTGGACCCATTGCTAGTGTTGTTGATGGTCCCGATCTGGATGGGGTTGGGGTCGCCTGGCCCAAATATCTCCTTTCGCACCACAAACCACAGCGCTGCGAATAATGTAAACCCAATCATGATCCCACTAAGCATCGCAATTAATGTCATGTAGTAGATCCAATGTGACATCGGCACTTGCCATTCCTGTGGGGGATGCTGTGCCTTCACGCGTCCGAGACATGTCATCAGTACTGAGGCAAGCATGGCGGCGTGCGGTTGCCTAGTGCCGAAATTGTACTTCTTGGCCCCGAAGAAAGCGAGGAGCACTCCGGTCTCCATGGTCTTGGTGAGCGCGTCGGCGACCATACTCCACGTAGGTATCCACGAGAGCTTCAGCTGGCTGTTGGGGTGCACCGTTTCCTTAATCATTGATGCCACGATGCGGAACCGCTTGTCCGCGGATTGACCCACGTCAGACTTGATGTGCGTCACCAGGCCGTTGCTGTCGCTATAGATCTCCCCGGATCGTTTAGTGCTGAGGTCATCGATCTGCTTGAGCGTCTTCTTCGGGTTGTAGGCCTCCGTAAGTAGCTGGCCGAACCACGTGCTCGATTCGGCGCCCTCCAGAGTGGCGTAGCCCTCGGCGGCCAGCGTAGACTTCACGGATCGCTTGACCGTGCCCGAATGCCAGGCCACAGGCAAGCACAAATCATATCGTCCAGCCACGACGTCCCGTGGCTTGTGGGTTAGCCCGATCGCCATGCCCCACTGGCTCTTCACCCCGTCCACATTGGCGAAGGCCGCGTCGCTGAAACAGACAATGGTGCAAGTGCGCAGGTCAATGATATTGCGCTTGATGACTATGGCGAAATCGGCGGACCCGTGCACGTAAGCGACGGTCTTGTTCAGCGTCTTGGCGTCGGCCACGGTGGCGGTATTGGTGCGGCGAGCCGCAAGGCTCACCGGGCAGGCGATGTCCACTCGCGTCTGTACTGCGAGCCAAAGCAGTTGGCCGAGTGTGTGGCGATATCCTGAGACCTCCGAGGTGGTAAGACGATCCTCTGGTGATCGTCCGCGTTGGGCGTTGAGTTCGATGAAATCCACCTGGGCGGCGGCCGTCGCCTGGGTAATGCGGAACTCCTCGTTGGTCTTGTTGATTGTCCGGCCGCAGTACTTGATGATACCCTCTACCTTCTTGAGGTGCAGCCTTTTCTGCAAGGAGCTAATAACTCGCTTCCACTCGCTGGAGCTTCCGCGCTGGGCGATGAGAAAATCATCCACATGGGAGTGGATCATAGCAGCGAGCCCTTTGTCGTCGTAGAAGTAGTAAAGGCCCTTCTCGAGCTTGCTCTCGATGAGGCCGTGCTCTTGGAACACCTTTTGGGCGTAGAGGTACCACTGGCGTCCGGCATCCCGGGTGCCGTAGATGGCGCCAGTCGCCATCACGATCTCGCCGGGCGATGTACGCGGCGGCGGGTTCTTGGCTGGCATGCGCAGCAATAGCAGCCTCTCGATGTTGCCCGACTGCAGGTAAGCCGTCATCGCGTCATACGACGTGAGGTCCCAGCCAAGCTGGGCGGCGGCAGCAAGAGTGAGGTAAAGCGCGTCCCTTGACCCGGTCGGCGCGTCCGCACGGATTTGGGACTTGTCCTCTTGACAGCCCTGGACGACAAGGCGAGCCTTCATGAGGTTGGCAGCCTTCTGCGTGAGCACCCAGCGGGTACCAACTGGTCGTATTCCAGGGTGTCGCTGGAAGATCTCCTTCAACTCCTTGGGCGGTAGCTTCTTGTAGGCCCCGAACTCGGTCCACTTGGACCACTCAACCTCCATGGCCAT